ACCCTCTTACTTCTTCCTTCTTTTACTCTTCCTTCCCGTGAAAAAGCAAAATATTAATATATCCGTATAAACTAAATGTGAGAATTGTCGTTACCGCTACTGTTACAAGATATATATATATCTCGGAAAGAAGAGATCATACGTGGGTACGAACGATAACGACCGATACGCATGTCCAAATTGTGCTTCGCGGTACGCCCGACCACCGACCAACACTGATTCGCCGCGTAACGATCGAACGTCTGCCAGCGGTGTCAGCCTCGGCTACTGGCTCAGTTTGCCTGACTGAATATCACCCCGGGGAAACGTTTCGGAGCATGCGTCGACCTCCACGCGACTATTAACTACGTACTTGCCTTCTAGTTGTGCGGTTTATTACCCCCTTTCTCACACTTCTTCGCTCTATTCAATTTCATATTTACCTTTCATATTTCCACATTTTTCCTCTTTCTTCCTTCCTCAATTTCACAACGAAACTATGATTTTTCTATTTGTTCTTCCTACTTTCTCCCAATTTTTTTCACATATTTACGCATTTCCATTGCAAATATACTCCTCGCCAAGAAGATAGCCCATGTGTGCTATCTTTAATTTCTCAATGACGCGTGTAGAGTTTTTCACCTATAACGTATAATATCAAAACATTATGAGCTCAGAATATGCGGTTCGTTGAAAATAATTAAAGATATTACGAGGTTTAGTGTGTAACGAAAAAAATTGTTTTATTCTAAGAACGAAATGATGGCACACTCTGTTAATATGTTTAGAAATTGCTCGGTAGTTTACGATCTATCAACGAGCAAAGATTACAGTACAATATTATATAAATTTCCAAGTATAGGACGCGGAAAAGAATTAAACGAGTCTGAAAAAAAACAAATTCTTGAACTAAAACAGCAATAGTAATAAGAAGAAGTCATAAAGTAATACATAATTTCTTAAAAAATGTTGAGGATTATGGCAAAAAGAAACGTATTGGTCGGCCGTCATCGTTATCCGATCGTGATAAGCGAGCAATTTTGCGTGTAGCTTCCAACTCGCAGTTAACGACGAAGCAAATAATGGAAAAATCTAGTGTTAGTGCCAGTGTTTCGAGTGTTCGTCGAGTTCTACTATCCTGCAAAGATATTAAGAGGCCGAAAAAGAAACCTTAGTTAACAACGAAACACAAAGTAGAACGTTTACGCTTTGCGATAGAAAGAATGCATTGGAAAAAGAAATGGAGAAGGGTACTATTTTCAGACGAAGAAGATTCAACTTGGATGGTCCTGATGGGTTGCAATATTATTTTCATGACATAAGAAAAGAGACAATGTCGGCAATTCGACGACAAATGGGAGGAGGGGGTGTGATGGTTTGGGCCGGCATCGGTTATTTCGGCAACACATGTATCAAGTTCATCAATGGGAGAATGAATAGTGTCCGATATATAAATTTAATCAAAGAACAAATAAATAATCATGCAGAACGCATTTCTCGACCTGATTACATCTTTCGACAAGATAATGCATCTGTACACGCATCAAGATTAGTCCAATCATACTTTAATGAAAATAATATACCTATTTTGCCGTGGCCTGCACGCTCCCCGGACCTTAATATTATTGAAAATTGCTGGACAGAACTTGTTCGCGGTGTATACGCGAATGGGATACGTTAAGTCAAAGTTATATCCAGAAACTATATAAATCGATACCAAATCGTACAATAGAAGTAATAGAAAATAAAGGGGGATGTAATCATTATTAAATAACTATATATGTTTGATAAGTAATTATTGATAGTTACAATTTATGTTGATTATTATTTTCTTATTGTACGTGTGCTATCATTTCGTATCATAAAATAATATTTTTAAAAATAATTTGAAAATAATATTCCATAATATTTTTACTTATTTTCAACGAATCGTATATTCTGAGCTCATAATGTTTTGATATTGTACGTTACAGACGATAAACTCTACACGCGTCATTAAAGAAATTAAAGATAGCACACCTGGGCTATCTTTTTAGCGAGAAGTGTAATATTAAGCACGTTAATAGAGACACAGTTTTATTTTAAGAGACACAGATATATTAGATGCATCTTCAAATAATATAGAATGGAAACTATTAATCGTTGAAACAAGACTACATCTGTCACATCTGTTACATATAATTAGTAGAAAGTAATTAACTTATATATTTTACTTGTTATACATTTTAATATTTTCGTCGTTCCTCTTTTGTAGGTATCTTAGAGATGCAAATATGTCTGTGATGTGCCCGTCCCCCTAAGGGCAAAAACCTTTCGAAGGTGAGCGAAAAGAAGGCGATACGGAAAGAGGTAAAGCTAGTAGGAGGGAAAAGGAAAGGAGAGTAAGCAAGACAGAAAGAGTGAGAGTGAGAGAGAGTGAGCGAGAGAGAGAGAGAGAGAGAGGGAGAGAGGGGGAGAGAGAGATGGAGAGAGAAAGAGAGATTTCTAAACATAGTAGAAGATCAATATTGTTAGATATTTAACCATTTTCTGTTTTATTCTCTGTATCATTAAAATTACTCTTGTGCAATAGATATTTACCATAAGTACTTATTGCAAAGAATAGTATTCGTTGGCTATACAGAAAAAGTTAATCGAGATTATCGAGATATCGTAACGGTCGCTTATCACTAAATATGAAATGACGATTATATGAAATTCATTCGACGTGCATTGGATTAAACAACTATTCGAAAAATCCCTTTTAATTGAATTTTATCTTAGATGAACGAATGTCTCTATTATAAAATGTGTCTCCATATGCATATATCGCTTATTTTACTTTCTTTAATATCTCTCTCTTTAATATCTTCTACTTTTCCTTTTTTTCCAAGACATACGCGCACAATATAATTTCCAATTTCGTTGAATGATTCTTGCTGCATGATTTGCACGAAAATATTCTACGTTCGCTAAGAAAGCTCTCTTTACGTCTAACTCGCTTTCCTCCTTTAATCGTTTATATAAACTACGTTGAGCAACAAGGTGATCCTGCAATCGTACATGTATGCTTGGATGACTTTCTAAATGTTTCATTTTTGACAATTGATATTTTGATAACGCAGACGATAATATGTAACAAATAGATATAAAGACAGATTGTACAGACCTGAAGAATGGCATATTCTTCGTTCACCAGATTCTGTCTGATTCGAAGACTAAGTTTATACACATAAAGCGATCCGATATTCCTGTCGTATTTTTCAAATTGATCCAAACATCGTCTTCTCGCTTTATAACTGCGTGCCATTGCATTACATTATTAAATGTAACTAATGTTCATCATACAGTCATTTATAAAAGACATGATAAAAATAATGATAATAATAAGAATAGCAATAACGATAATAATAAGAAGTTTCTTCTTTACCGTTCATTGCATAAATCGTTCATTCTCAAATAACATATTCCGTCAAGAGATTTCAAATGAAGATCGAACCACTCAACTTCTACTTCCACAGATCTTTTTCGTACTTCATTCCTTAAATTTGTAGCGGACAACTTCGACGAGAATTTGGCTCTAAAATATTTACTTCTTGTAAAATATATTGTATATGTATACGTACACGTACATACATACACGTATGTATAGATATTCATTTCTATAATTGATATATTGAGCATAATATAGTAAACTGTATATTAGGTATACATTACATTAGGTATTACAACACGTATTTCAGATTCTATGAAACAATAATGTTTTTTACCTTATTTTCGATTTGCTTGACAAGAAAGGATAAAAAGTTACTTACGTTCGCATTTTTATCTTTTGTTTCAAACTTTCTTGAATATTCTTCCTTACGAGTTTTCTTCTTTCCCAATTTAATTCAATACTTTGCAAAAATTGGTTCGAGTCTGATTTCTCATTTTCAAGTAGAATTTCCCACTCTATTGAAAAAATGTACGATGTTGTTACGGATCATCCGCTTTACGTAGAAACATACATACATACATAAATACATACATACATATATACATACGTGTCATTTCAAGTTTAGCTTTGTCAATGTTTCTTGTAAAATCATATAATTCAGTGTCCCAGGTTGTTTCCTTTACGAAATGCTGCTTCGAATTAGCTTTGATCAAACAACAGAATAACTCAACTTTTTCGAATAATATCTTCTTTCGTGAATAGAAATCTTGTTCAGGTGTTTCTCCAACTTCAACATTCGAATGCTACATACATGTATAATTTATTCATTACCGAACAAGTAGAACAAATTTTCATATAGAATGAATTATTAAAGTTAATAATTTTATAAACAAATTGTCTAGAAATGCCGTATGCGTTATCGTTCTTTCCTACACACACACACACACACACACACACGCACACACACACACACACACACTGGTTGCTTTTCGACTACATACTTCTTTTGTGAGAACCGTTAAATACCCATCCATTTGGTCAATCTGAATTTAGAATAATATGTATATGCGTATATATATATATATATATATATATACATATAATATGTTCTCCCTTCTTTCAATCAATTGTACAATTGCATAAAATGTGCCACATCGAATTGGACCCGTACACTATATGCGATCGTTCGTAAGCCTACGTGAAATACATACACGTATGTATATAATCAGATTATTTAGTTTTCGGTGTCCATAGTTACGAGTTGATGATTACCGGATATTACGCAAATTTGTTGTCTCTATATGACTTTCGTGAGGAATATCAACATGTAGATGTTAAATCGAACTTATTTTTAACGATAAACTCAATTCACGATTTGATAACATTTTATTTCGCATGATATTTAAAGGAACTAATTAAAATGAAAACTCGTTTAAATTCTTTAATACATATATACATATATGTATGTACCTATATACACGTACCTGCGTAATTACATAGATGATTTATAATCGAGACCATTTGAGAATTCAGGAGTTGTATCGTTTTCTAATTTATGAAAATATCCATAAAAGCAAATTTATATTTGCAATTCAATTAAATTATTATAAAAGATTTTCACTTTAAATTTATATTTTAATAATCATCTTATTTAATGAAGATTAACCTGGAACGGAATACCAGATTTCCTTTCTGATAATATTAACGAATTAAATTGTATCGATTCCAAGCGCTTAAAATCAGTATCGTATCGTAAATGTTAGTGTCATAGAAAATTGTATCCGAGATTTGAAAATGATCAACGCTCTAAATTGTAAGCAGTATGCATAGTTCATAGCACACATTTACATTTACATATTTACATGTATGTATAAGAATAATGAACTGTATTTTATACACCGTGTTTCCTTCATATTTATAATAATCCAAAGAATATATTGGTTAATCTATATAAGCAATATAAGCCAACAATGTTACGTTGTTTCTTAACTCGTTTCCTAATCCCATACGTAATAATAATGTTAATCGAAATTTTTAGTATGTTTGCACATACATAATTCGCTGTTCAACTCTTTTATCATTTAAGTTAAATTGGCTGCAGTTTGGTTGCGCTAGTGTTGCTGCTAGTAATACGCCAGTGCTGCTACGTGGATGCGATTGCCAGAATTATTAGTCGATTTCAAGTCCAAGTATCGTTGGATGTGTTGAGGAGTCGTCTGCGATACAATAAATATGGCGTACCGTGGTGTGAAAGGTTCTGATCCGTTTGTTTCGAAAACATCGCGAAATGAACGTTTTGCGCAAATGTCAAAGCAAGAGCAAATTATTCAGCAAAAAAAGCTTGAAATACAAGCAAAGATGCAAGAGCAAAAAGCAAAAGAAGCTGTGGAAAACTTGAAAAAGACAAATACGATAGCTCCGAATTTGATAGAAAATAAAACGAATTGTTCCAAGTAAGTAGAGCTATATCACTTCCAGAATAATTTCATATTTATTATTGCGTGAATAGATTCCCTTTTCGTAATTTTTCGTATTAACTGTTAACACTTTAACTTAATTAGTTTTCATGTGTGAATAAAACTGCAGTGTGGATGTCAAAATACTGATAACAAGCTGACAGGGTTATGGAAATATTTATGTATTATAGTAATAGTTTTAGTCTTTTTTTATTTGTTGTAAATAATCACCTGTTGATTTAGTACTTTGATTTAGTAATATCTTATATCTATATCTGTATCGAACGTCTTATGTTTCATTACAGAAAAGACGAAAACAAGTCAGTGATATCTCAAACCATTAATTTATTTGCTAATGATGGCAGCTTTTTGGATCAATTTAAAAAAATTGCAAGTAATAAGGTAACAGGAAAAACAGAGACGATGTTTCCTTTGAAGATAGAAGAAAAAATGGAAGAAAGTGCACAGGATAAGGAACGAAGAAGAAATAACGACAGAAATACAGACTGGGAAAATAGGAAAGACCGCAGGAGGGAGGATTCTCATTGGGAAAAGAGTTCTGACAAAAGACATAGCTCTTCTTCCAGTCCGTCTCCTACTAAACGTTCAGCATCTCAAGGTCCAGAAGCTAGACATTCATTTAATCAAGTAACTTCTAACGATCAACGTATGCAGCACAGCAATCAACAGTTTCTTTCTCGGAATGGAAATCTATCTGCTGTTCCATCCCTTGCATCTCAACCTATAACGTATCTCACAGGTGTACCATCACCTAATGTGAGAAGTATCGTAACCAACGTACCTCCTCCAAATTTATCAAAAATGCCTCCTCCGAAAAGTATGTGTAGCACTTTCCCTAGACTGGATGACCAATCTGGAGATCCAAGAATGCCAATAACATCACCCCATACAGTCCGTCCACCTCCACCTCCACCTCCTATACCTGTGCAACCTGTTCCACCAAACACCAACGTACCTCCACCAAATATTCATATTTCTCGGACAATACCATCTAATTTACAAAGTTTACCACCACCACCACTGCCACCTTCAACCGTTCCATTAGCATCTTTATTATCTACATCGTCATTAACGTTGCCAACGTCATCAATGTCGCCAACATCGTCATTGCTGTTATCATCCCCACCACCACCACCACCACTACCACAATCGTCCCCATTACTCTCATTATCATCTTCCTGCTCTACTTCTTCTGCTATCTCCTGTTGCCCCAATTCCTCCTCCTCCTTCTCCTCCTCCACTTCTTCCTCTTCTTCGTTTACATTGACATCAACAACACTACAACTACCTTCACTGCTAAAATCGCCATTGCCGTCGCCATCGCCATCGTCATCGTCACCGTCATCATCGTCCTCGTCATCGTCCTCAGCATCATCGTCATTGACGCCATCGTTGTTACCGTCCTCTTCGTCATCATCGTCGTCATTATCCTCATCGACATTATTATTATCGTCGTCGTCGTCGTCGTCGTCGTCGTCGTCGTCCTCGTCCTCGTCATCCTGTTCCCTGTCCTTGTTGAAACCAAGGCCATCGCGACCATCGATCCCTACAGGAAACTTACTAAGAGGAAAAGCGAAAGACTTGGAGCAACGACGAGGTCAAGACTCCAATCTAGTGACACTTTCCGACGCGGCTGTGTCCCTGTTAAGCGGCTGCATCACCGACGAGAATTCGATCGATCCTTTGGTACTCAGCTCTGCCAACCTCGCCAGCAAAGTCGCTCTGCGAATACCGCAACCTCATCAAAGAATCTCCGGTTTCGGAATGAAAATCAAACCAAACTTGAGTATCAGGCACATTCCTAATCCTCAGGCTGTGGTCGCGTCGCAATACAGGAATCAAAGAGTCAGTTACTTCAATTCTGCCTCGCAACAGCCACCGTAATTCTTTCTCCGCTAACAGTACGAGCTATCCTCCTGTGTATCCTCCATTCTTTTCACCACTTCCTATGGTAATAGCCAACAATCTGGTCGGTGTCTCTGACTTTTGTCCAACTTTAAAAATCGTTACCGAGAATGAGCAAACTATCGCGACAAAGATTTTATTTTTATTTTATTTTTATGCACTCGTCCATTGCAGCTAAAGCGATAAAGTTGTCGACGAGAAGCGTCCTCTCCGATGATTTTCGAACGTGTTACAAAGATCGATCGCTTTGAACGATTTTTCTCTTTACGTATAACCGGCGGCTGGCTTTAGTCATCAGATTAGGTTGGGTTAATATTAATCCGATCGCCGCGAGGCGGCCAGCCAGCGTTTCACTGCTTAATCGCTTTAAAGAGTAACTGAATAAATTCGTTGAATCTCAGTAAAGTGAAGCAACGAAATGTTGACCGCCATTACGTTGCATCCGAGTGTCCGACTCAGAATCCAGGTAATTATACGAATAATCGACCGCGAGGTGAACGTATCCTTCTATATTATTGGTATCATCAGAATCGAGTACGCGACGACACTTAGCTTCAACCGGACAACAATGCGGTGTACCACCTCCTACACCATTACAACCTATGAACTTGCCACCTCCAAACATTCCTCCTCCTAATATGTTACCAACAATGACACAAATGCCACCAAGCATAATGTCGATTCCGGCTACGCAGACAATCGTGGTCAGTGTACCGAATGCGTCAAACGTGCCAAATGTCCCAAACGTCCCACCGCCAAATGTAATACCATCTGTGATGATGTCCGCTCCACCACCAGTCCACAATGTTGCCTCGAATATGAATTCAATTCCAGCGCCCAATCTTAATATTCCACCTCCGAATGTACCACCCCCTTCCTTAATTCCAAACGCCAGACCGCCGCTTTCTTTAATGTCGACCAGTTACCCTCTTCCTAATCAAGTCGCTCAGGTACCTATGGGACCACCTAATGTACAAGTGCCACCACCAGTGAGGCCATTGACTGATCTACAAGCCTCTGAACAGCTAGGTACGATATGTCGATTATTTTCATTTATTTCTTCGTTTCGACGTATCGCCGCGTGTTTATATTTACAAAGAACAAGTTATTTCCTGTAAAATGGATTACTTGTTCGCGCAGTCCAGAATATGTAAGTGTGCGTGCGTATGCGTATGCGCGCGCGCGATACGCCGAATACAAGACGCGTGGGCGAATACGAAACTTGCAAATAAGCAAATTCGTGCTGATCATTCGTGTAGACGAATACGTGTTCTACACTACAGAAACAAAAACAAAATCCAGAGTTTTTAGCGTTGTTACGCATGTCTGACAAAGGCTTCTAAGTGTGTCCCGTAGAGGCTGAGCAGCTGGCACGCATCGTCGCTGACTGTGGGGATGAAATCGAACAAGAAGCACGAGAGAAGAATGCCCAAGATCCTAAATTATGGTAACTACTGTCCTCTCTGGTCCCCCATCTATAGCCTCTTTATACGTGTAGCGTTTGCACATATCACATTTTCTTTATTTCACCTTACGTATCGTTCGTTCGTCTTTTTTGTACAACATTGCTCTATTTTAAGCACTAGATACAGCATTTAGGTGTAATGTATTACGATGCTTGCTTTGTCTGTACCACTTCTCCATTCTCTACTTCCTTTCTAATCAAGTAGCGAAATCTTATCGATAATATTTGATAATAACGATACGTGAAATTGTAATTAAAATTTGACCAATAAGTTTTTTAATTATACATATATCGTGCGCCCAAAACGTGAATGTTTTTCTTCATTTCTTATTTACAATTATTTATAATTACTATTTTATCCTCCGTAAAACAACATACATTAGAGTATGTTCCCCTAATTAGTTTATAAAATATTTCTTTTATAAAATAAAGACGATACTTAAATTCTTCAATGTAATTGCCGAATCAAAAGCTTGACATATTGGACGAACATACGAATATACGATTTGTTTTCTTATAAAACACCTGTTATCTTCTATTCTTTCTTCTTATTCTTTTTTTCTTTTATTTTTTTTTTCTCTTTATTGTGTCTCTTTTAATCTAAAGGAATTTAATTTAGGAGACTATGTTACTCGTCAGAAGTTTTAAGTTTTGTTTTAATCAAGGTTTCTGCACCAAAAGCAAAGTGCAGCCTATATGCAGTACAGGGGATTGGTGGCAAAATTTCGCACTGAAAAATCCGTTAAGGAAAATAAAAACGCCGGCGCGGAACTCTATTGTCCGGAAGAAGCTCTCAGCGATAATGACGATAGCGATCAAGGTCCTACCGCTAACAAGCATGTTTCACCACAAGGTATATATAATGTATATTTATTTTTGCATCGTGTCATCGTCTACCATTATTGATTGTAATTATTTGTACATTAAACAGAAAAGAAACGAGAGAGAGAGAGCGATAACAATTCTACAGATCGATCAAAGGAAGACAATAAGGAAGAACGTAAACGAAAAAGACGTAGCCGATGGGGTGATCCAGATAATAAGGTGCCTGTAGCAGAAATGAACACGTTAACCAGCCATAATAAACAGCAAAGTAGTAGTGGCTTTTCACAGCCAGGTATCGCGATTCCTGGACAAATTGGACAACCGGCTGTTATAATTCCATCACCAAAAGTGCAACGTACGGAAACAAAGAACCCTATGTTAACTAAAATATCAAGGAACGATCCAGCCTTGATACAATATGCTCGGCAAACTTTTGGTACGTTAGATCTCACTGAAGAGCAATGGAAAAAAGCCGAAGATCATTACAAGGTGACAAGATTGTTTATTTTAAGATTGTTTTATTTCAAGCGTTCATTTAAGATTTAAGATTAAGATCGAGCTTAGTACTTTGTTAATTCAACAATGTGTAATTTCTGCCAACTCACTCATCGTTTATTCTAACTTTCATTCAGATAAATCTTCTCTACCAAAACTTATTAAGAAAAAGAGAAGAAGTAAGACGTTTAGAAGCACAGGGCAAGCACAAATACGAATACGACAGTGACGAAGAGACGGAAGGTGGTACTTGGGAACACAAACTCAGATCTGCCGAAATGGAGGCTACTCAGATGTGGGCTGAAGAATTGACGGCCCAAGCAGAAGGAAAGCATCATATTGGTGATTTCTTGCCACCGGATGAACTTAAAAAATTTATGGAACAATATAACGCAGTTAAGCAAGGGAAGGAACCTGACCTAAGCGATTACAAGGAGTACAAACTAAAAGAAGATAACATCGGTACGCAGCTTGCCTTTCTTTGCGCGTGCATGTATTTACATATATATTAAAATATATATGTATCTTTTTGTCAGTAAGTTATGTTTGACAACCAAATTAACGAAGATTGCAATTCTTTAGGATTTCAGATGCTACAAAAACTTGGTTGGAGCGAAGGACAAGGATTAGGTAGCGAAGGCAATGGTCGCATCGAACCCATTAATAAGTAAGTAGTTCCTGACTGATTGTACTTATTATATTCGCGTTGATTTCACATATAAACATATAATACATGTGAATTATTTCTATGATAGAAGTTTGCCGTATTATTGAATTTCCTTAGCATTTTATTTGATCTATCTGTGACCATTTCCTACTTTATTTATTAATACCAATATCTTCGATGTTGTATCGACATTTCTCATTTTTCTATAGAGCAACCAATAGATTCGACAGTGCTGGTTTAGGTTCCGAAAGACCGGATGGTGTATCCAGGGACGACGATGAATTCGATGCCTACAGAAAGAGGATGATGCTTGCCTACAGATTTAGGCCTAATCCTTTGGTAATTTTGTCAAACATCTAAAAAATTTCGGAATGCCAAAGTTATGTTTCATATGCTTAACCACTAATCAAATGTTTATTCTTCTTCCCTTTATTTTTAGAACAATCCTCGAAGACCTTATTATTGAAAAGAAGGTGACATTAGTAGATCGTATTCGAGGCATTATATATCGTGATGTTCCATTTAGTTGGAAGATAAATTGTCATTATTTTGTACATTTGAAATATAATACTAAACGTACAGATTACAGTTATAGTTACAGTGACATAATAAATGAAATCCCAATCTTGTTTCTATTTCTATAGATGTTTACTCTGTTTTTCTTATTGTATGTATGTACGATTATGAATGCTCATTAGAATTATTAAATGAAATATGAACTGTGAATGTTTTGTTACATATATTATTTGTACGTAGGTTTCATATTTGATGCACCGTGCGATATGTATTGGATTGTAGAAGCATCGATTAAGTACAGAGTAGACGTAACATAATTATATGGGGCTTTGTGTCTCACAAATTCCAACTGAATACCAACTTCAAAAAAATCAAAGTATTTCCTATTACATTGGACAAGCGTACTTAAGCGCTTATACATTGATCGATCTGATTGTTACATTGCCCTAACATAGGGAATATATCACGCCTCACAAGTCACATGGTCCCCCAAATATGGGACACGTAAAAGCAACGACAGGTGTCAGCTCTATCCTGTATTCAGTCCGTGACAAAACATTCCGGTTAATTTGTATCGATAAATGAAACAATTTTACCGATCTACATACATACATACATATGTGACGATACCTATGTATACTTGAATTTATAATGTACTCTTTCCCGTTCCCTTCTGCTTTCTTCCTCTCTTCATTTTTATACTACTATCTATCTCATTGTCAGTCTGTCGGTTCACTATTTTTCTTGTACATCTTCTTTCCGATCGTATCTTGTTACTTTTTCCTTTATCGCATTTACCGAATTACTGTATTGCATTCTTTTTTTCGATTTTGATTAAATTCGTTATTTAATCTTTTTCATTTCTTCATTCTCATCGTTGTCGTTGGAATTTTAATGCATATTTCACATCGATGCGCCCTGATAATCATGGAATGCACATTTCACAGTAATACCAAGTATGCCTGTTCTCGTTTCTTGATCAACAATTGTATCGACGTCTCGATCAAGGTGAAAAGTCTGACACGTTCTCTTAGAACGTAAGATCATGACATTCTCGAAATATTTCACACAAGTTCTCTTAGATTCGGAAAACAATGTTTTGATTTGTTCGTAATCTCACACGAAGAGTATAGATACGAGATAAAAGCTCAGCTATAAATAACTGACGACATTTATCTTATTTAAAAGCAATTTTCACCTTTGAATTAGCTTACCTTAATAATAGTTGTTTCCTTGATCTTCATTTTACGTTTAAGTTATGTAATTTTAATTCTCGTTCCAACTATTCTCTAACACATTTTAATTAAAAGATAAATAATGATTTATAAAAAGATGATTTATAATCATTACGAAAAAAATGAAAGTTATCAATACGTTAGATGCAAATATATTAAATATTAGATAGATATCGATGCGATATAGATATGTATTTACAAATTGATATATCATACGCAGGTAATGTTCGGTTTATCCCTGTTTATTTCTCAATCAACTGTAATCGATATTGTCAGAAAGTCAAAAGTAGGAGTAAAATGGCTGTTGGAACTGTTGAAAGTTTGGAAGTGCGAAGAACGGCAGCAGTAAGAATTAAAACAGTATTTACGATGTATGTAGTAGTAGTATAGAATGACGGAATAACTCGTACTATAGATGTACTCAAATAAGCGAAGGGGCAAGCAATGATGAGGACTGACAGTCGTATTCGCGTATGGTCACATACATGTATGTCTTCGTTTTATAAGTGACGTCATCTTGTTCCTGCGATAGGAACTTCTCCTGGTGACGCTGGCAACGATATCAGTCAAGAAGGGGTAGAGTGGTAGGTAGGGTGAGAAAGAGAAGGGCAACGCAAAGGAAGGGGAAGAAGAAGTTGCAACGAAACGGAACAGTACGAATTCAAACGGATCGAACCGTTTCAGATCGGATCATAGCCTTACAGAGGGAAAGGACGGAAAAAGACCACAGAATGGTCGGTAGATCAGTGGGGAGAGGTACAAGCACTCTTTCAAAGCGGACACGTATGTACGTGAAAGTAACTCTTACTATTCAGCGGCGATCGGGAACTTGTTGGTGCTTTATGGTGTCGGCAGTCTGGTTGTTTGTATCGAATTTAAAATACGGTGCGCATAATTGCCTATTACTGTTGTGTATTTTGCTCGTTATTTCAGGAGACGTACAAACAATAAAGTGAAAAACATAAGAATAAGGAAGGGTGATGCACAATCGTATATGACATAGAGTTTGTCTATGTTTCAATTCATATCGAACTTATATATCTAGGAAGAAGAGAAGAACGGATAGATCATCGAACTTGGAAGAAAACGGAACAGGTGTCATACGCAACATTCGGTGCGAAGTGCGCGTAATCATCGAGATTCAGAAGAATTAAATAATGGTTCTGATTTTGTCTGTGGAACAGTTGCGCACATATAAATACAACAAATTGACACGGTCTTTTGTCTTTATTTTTTAAGTCGTTTCTAAGAGACATAGTATACCGCGCACACCGACATATACATTTTGTTTCATTTTTAATACGTTTATTTTTTATACGTTTTTTTCGTTCGCTTCTCTCGGAAAATCTCTATCTGTCAGTGCACAGAAATGAGATATTGATTATACTAATTACTCATTTACCGTGTGTGTGTGTGTGTGTCTTCATCAAGGGAATGTCAATATTCGTAATGATAACGGTCGTGTATATTTCGATCAAGGTGAACGAATATTAAAAGTAGAGCGAAACCAACAGAACAAGTAATGATTTTGCTACAAAGAGAAAAATGAGAAAAGTATAGGATTCGCTTAAGTTTATCATCTCATCTTATCCTTGGTGCGTATACGGTGATCAAAGTGTTATATCGAAGAGGATCGGGAATAAACTCCGCTGTGATCACTCTGAACATTCGTTATGATAACGAATTGTTATGAAACAATTTAAAATTGGTAATGGCGAAAGAAAAATCTTTTCGTGTTTGTTGCAACTTGTAATAGTTGTGTTTTCTTTGCCGAGTGTTTCGTGATTTGTGCTTCGATCAAATTGGTTTTGTTCCAGTCGAAAAGAACATTTACATTCTCGCGTATATATCTTCACTTAGAAACATTATCGTTGGTGAATTTACTTATTGCTTTGTACATATATATATATATAAGCGTTGAGAATGAATGGATGTTCGGCTTAAAAAGAAGAAGAAGAAGAACTTGCATGCGAACAACTAACCGAACATTAAGTGATCTTCGTCGGGAGTGCCGTGGGTACGTGAATTTTTAAAATCGCGTATTTTTCTTCGTTCCGTTCTTTATCTCTGCCGTTCTCTCTTTCTTTTTCTTCTGTTTCTTCTTCTTCTTCTGCTTCTTCTATTTCTTTTCTTCTTCTTTTCTTTCTCCTTTCCCTTTTATACTTCCTCGCCATTGACATTGCCGTTAAAAATATCCATTCACTCCCATATCTTTCATATTCCTTTCATTCTCTGCGATTGTTCGATCATGAGAGAAGCTGTAGTACTTGCCACATGTTTATTGGGTATCGTGTTTGCTGGAAGTCCTAGACTACCCAGGACCTCTGCCGATGAACGTAATACCCGTAACGTTAGTAACAATGGAGGCAACGTCACTGGAAACACGATACCGATACCTAGCCGCAATTCTCAACGAAATAGGTGAGTTGGCATAAAAAACAATAAATTATATTAATTAACATTGTTTTTTTTTTTGTAAAGATCAGAAGTTGAGAAAGAGTAAGATGATAGGCATTGTATCACTTAAGTTCATTCGATAGATTGATCGATGATAAATATTCGAGAAGACTAATTTCTTTTTCTTGTTTAATTTTGCGAATAGCATATAGTGTATAACATATGTGTGTGCGCGTGTGTGCGTGTGTGTGCGCGCGCGCGCGCTCGCGCTCGCGCTCGCGCGTGTGTGTACATATTCACTTAATCGTAGTTGACCAACGGACAATCTGTCCGTACAGCTTTCCTGTGTTTCTTGCGTGGTGAAAAGTTAAAAAATCGAATAATTCTTCTGGAATTTGTTATTCTGAAACAAGTACAATTTAATTGTGATTTGCTCGTTTGTGTAGCAAATTTGTACCACTTAATATTAGGAAAATGAAAACGAGTTATTTGTTTAGAACGAATGTGGTAATAAAAATAACGCCGATTCAAATAAAATTGGTTTGAGTTTAATGCTTTGATCCGACGACTTTAATCGTAAGAAATTGAACCAAGAATTTCCGTTATTGTACTGAAACAGGTTTATACTCGCCTTTTTCTTTCGCTTTCTCTTTCCATCCTCTCAATTCGTGCAACGTGTAGCAGCATACATCTACAATCTGCAGTATACAGCTATAAATCCCTCGTCGTCGTGGTGTCTCGCCTTGTGTTGTCGTTCTATTGGGGTTCATGCTAGACTTTCCCTTATGTAACTTCGCAGAACAACGCGAAAGGTGTTTGATTCTTAATAATAGTAGCGGAATTGCTAAAGAATATTTTGTCACTTATGTAATAGAATTTTATGAATTTTATCGGATCGTTGATTGTAAACCTTGTTTTCTTTCTAGAAATTACATACTGGTTGCCTTCTCATCTCGCTTTCCACTTACTTGCTTTCCTATTACATATTAGCCAAACTATCTTTTCTTTTATTTATTTACCATTTCATTTATCGCTAAGAACTTGTCAACAATAACGAGTCTGTTAATTCTTATATTTGATACACCTTCTTCTAACGACACTGCACAAACCACAACTAATAATTAATTAATCGTCTAATTAAACTGGTAGGCAAAAGCTACACCGAGATTATCTCCGTTGTCTAGAAAATTGTTTTGTTTTAGCATCTACAAGGTTTTATTTTTCAAAAACAAATCTTTAATCTTGATTAACTTGAATAAGTTGATCAGTTTGGTTTTTGTGTAGCTTAAATAACTTTTGGCGCGTAAGATCAATACAATTTCGACAATCACACCCAAATTGCATAATATAATACAATATTTAAAATAGTATGAACAGTCAACGAGAAAAACTCGACAACTCCCTTGGCGCGCGCATCATTCTTTTTTTCATGCGTAAGATTTACATGTGTATGTATGTACGAGTATAAGATGACAAATACGAAAAATCATATATTCTCTCTAATGTATGTGGTAATGTATTAGCTGGCATATACACTAGTGTTTTCTTTCTAGTCCATTTGAATTAATATTTTTTCAGGAATAAATTGATAGTAAAAATATTTTTGCATATTATATAAAGCGACTTTGGAACAATTTTCCCCTGATGCTTTATAAAAGAAATACCGATTAAACGAAAGAAACACAACCTTTTTTCACATATCGTTTTATACCTTAAACGCTATTTGTTGTACATGAAAAAGTTTCAGTAGAACTTTTCAAGTTAATAAAATTATCTGTAAAATGAGACTCGCTGCGTTAAGATAAGCCCAATTTTTATATTGTAAATTAGTAAAATGTGCGAAAAAGTACATTTTTCATAAATCATTTATAACTAGTTAAAGTTGTCGTGCAGTATCAAGGCTCTGTAAGATAAGTAAATACTATAGTTATGTCGAAATAGAGTACCAAATTTGTCCATCCGTAGTAGCATATGTGTCAGTGTATTTTCTGTTTATGAACAAGAGTTTTGGGTGAGTTTAAAGGTTCCATGCACAATTGCGTATTCGAGGTTGCAAGAAAAACACCTGTCATGTCATAACTTATGACTCAAATAATTAATATTATTTTACGAAATAGAACGATTGTTATTATTTTATGTAAGTGTTGCCGACCTCCTCGTGGCGACTGGTTTTTAAAGAAGCTAAGCTCAATACATTGATGATATTCATCTTTAATTGAATTGTAAGACAGACAGACATTTCTTAGAACCTCCCATGTGCAGTTGGGCCACGGAGTTGTATCCCGGTCTCGGCCCACCTTCGTTCGTATACATCATATGGTATACACAATAAACAGAGAATAAGCGTCAGGTTTCGGTCAGGTCACTCTATCTGGTCGCTGGAAACTAATACGAACGCATACGCTGCCACGAACGTACAATTATTACAGGCAGTACTACTCACTGTAATGGTATCGATAGTTTTTTGCTCGGAATATCTTGGAAATTATGGCCGACAGACTCTTGCATGTATAGGAAAAAGTTGTTCAAAATGTTGAGTTTTTACAAGAAAATTAAACATATTCAAAAATCACTTAAATCTAGTTTTCTAGAACTGTAAGTTTTTAACAGTTTCACTGTAAACATTTTATTTGTAAGCCTGCATCGCACTGTCTTCATGATTATCCATTTTAAGCGATCGATACCAATCGGAAAGTAGATATATCAATGTCAGGCTCTATCAAAAATAAACATAATATGTAAATAGATTGCAACGCGAAAAAAGGCGAGAGACAAATTCATTACAAGTTTGATGATACCTTTGCAACATTCCTATATGTACGTTTACGCTTACTTACCTTTATGCATAACAACCTTATCGATATTAGTTCTTAATAAATATTGTTTCTGTTGCCCGAAGTATAACACGAAGGTTGCAGAACGACGTAATAGGAAATTTGTAAATGTCAGGATACATGGACGGGTATACATATATGTATACACGTGTTACATCTACTACCATTAGTCGTTCCGCTAGAATCATCATGGTATTCGTCTCGTAATTTGTTACCTTTCTTTTTCAATCTTACGGAAGTTATCAGTCGTGGAATGTCGTCCGTTGTAAGCGCTCGTTGTAATTCCGCTTCCACCTTTCAATAGTCGTTGTTAGTTTTTGTTCGTTGGTTTCGCTGCGGAGTACTTTTACACTAGGGTAATTTCGATAATATTCATGCCCATTTTCGTTATAAGCTGGTTGAAAATGTGGATCAAGTAAAACAATTATACAGTTATATATATTATACAGTTAATAAATTAAATTAAAACATGCGTTCTATCATGTATGTTTATATCGTAACCTTTCTTTCTTTCTTTTTTTGCAACGTCATGGACCTTATATGATACAATTGTATTTGAAAGAATAACGGCATTTTCTGTTTTCTATGAATCGAAGGACCGATATCTATAATAATTACGCTTATGGTTTCAATTATTCCTATTGACACTTATTTAAGAGGAGGATTCGTGAAAGAACAAAGTCTTATAATTATTTAAGGTAACCTTATATAACGATGTCGGCATAATAATTGAAACAACAGAAGGGATTCTATCAGGGATTAACATTACGCGATACGTTTGAGATGATAGAATTTTATAATAGACAACTTCATTTACGTATAGATAAAGTATAAAATCTTAATCTGACAATTTGATAATTAGAAGGAAAGTAAAGGGAACGATTTTTAGATTAGGAACACGAGATCTGTTTATTATTATAATTTTTATAATCATACGTACATACTATACATACTATGTCGATGAATCGGCAATAGCTGCAACGAAGTAGAAATTAATACAATAAAATTACGTTTTAAATTTCATTCTTCGGTTAGAATCGTTCAAGTATATGTGAAGAAATCAGCGAGAAGCAAATCTCGTCAGCACCGAATACGTACTTGTATAAATATTTGTTTCTCATTCAGCCAATCGTAACTACGACAGTAGACATAGTCGATCATCGATCGCATTTAAGCAATACTAACCTCAGTTGCCTATACATTTGATCGAATTGCCAACCATTTTTCAAACAATCAGTCGACGATACGTCGAGCATGTCGCACTGCAGCAGCAGTATCGTCGTGTTTGTAAAGGTCTCTCGATCAAAAATTTTACATAAAGTTTATCGCTGCTTCTAACAACTGGGTTTGATAGATGTGACCTTTGAGAATACTTTGTTTTATTGCACCTCGATGAATCTGACATTAATGATTGTAATATCGTAATTCTAAAGAATTAAAAGAGAGAACTCAACGTTTTATATTGTAGAAATAAAATAACTTTGCCCGAAAGAAGCTGATAAATAACATAAAGTATTTTTATTATCGGAAACGATAAAGTAAACATAAGTTAACTTCACAAACTTTGTTGTGGCGCTTGCAACTGTGCATAGGAATGTATAAAAATATAGCAGATTGTCCTCTGTTCATTCTATTATATTCTTATGATTATGAAAGGTTTCGTCTCATCATATCAAATCAGTTAAATAGGATTTAAAAAGTATTCCTTACTAATAATTCTTATTAATCACTTGTCATTAATTGTTTTAATTCATTTTTACGTAGGAATAATTTCATTATAGCACGTAGGACTATCAAACTTGTAACGAGCGGCCGTTTCAATTACAAGGCTACAGGGTCTCGGCCGATTGCTCTTATGTGCAATGTGTAATTTTAATAATAATCGTAGATGTTCGTCAATTTGAAGAAAAAAAGGAACAACATTTCGATTTATCCGTATTTTAAGCACAGGTGTACAACGTCAACGTAAACTGTAATTTACATGAAAATATTTAGAAGAAATATTAGCGAAAAAGTAACAGATCCTAATATATTATTTAAACAATTCACTATTTCAGTCGCCAAGAATATGTTAGCGTTCATCCGGAGTATTCATCCACCAGTGAACTGGTGTAAATACTCTCCGTTTTTCGTTGTTCACTTTCACTGTGGAGGAATCATCTATCCAGCGATCCTCCAATGCGAAATAGTACAAGTTTGGCTTTATCTATGCGAGAGCCATAAACTCGCATACATACGTATAGGTAATATCATCATGCCCGGTACATAAAGCTGCCAGCAACCTAACCGATACCAAGATAAAAGGTAGCAAAGGTATTTTTTCGAATATGTACATATCTCGAAAGCTACAGCCGAGCAGGGCCCCAAACATACGTAGGAAAAAGTTGTTCAAAAACCACGATCCTGACAATAATATATTTGAAAATCATTGAAACTGGTAAACATAGATCCCCTCGTTCGAATAATTAATAATTATGATATTCTCCTACTCTCCTTGCAAGGTATATTTATCGTATCTGTATATTTAGTAAAAGCGAGTAAGCAAATATTTGCGAGTCATTTTCTTTCTGTATATATTTTACTATAATTCTACATTCTATAATCTATTTATATTTATATATATTTATATATAATTATTTATATATAATTTATATATAACTATACTATATTTATATATAATTATTATTATAAATTACATTTTTATTCGACGAATAAAACCAGAGTAAACCAGAGAATACACGCACGAATACGAATACGAATATCGCGTATGCGTTACGAAAAGAGAATAAATGATAAAATTTACGAAAATATGTTGTAATTCTTAATAATGTATATGTATGTTAATTATTTAAGTATGTTGATTATCGTTCAATAGTCATAGTGTACATGTGGTAAAAGTAATGACAACAATGCCGTTATATTTTACACGGATACAAATTCTACAAATTTAGGCATTACACTATAAAGCTTACAGATTTGTAAGATTCGAAAGGACCGTAATAACCATGGAGAGTACGACTGTTGACCTACCTATGGATTGCGTAAAATTACAGTTTACATCGTAACGAGAGAAAGGATACATCTGTGCAAGTTGTTTCAGATTCAGCTTTATCTTAGATCCGATACTATTTTATATAAGATAGAGCAACATTTTCCTCATCTATAGCAATGATGTATCGATTATCAATATCGTTTAATTTATTTAAAGAAGATGAATTAATTTTGTAGCTTTTTGTAGCAACTAATATTAATCAAATTTGATAATTTGTTCATATTTTGAAATTTCTATTAATCGTCGAGATAGTTACGATGTAACGAATCAATAGACGAACATTCTTACTTTTGCATTACTCGAGTGAAATGAAAATTTTTTAATTGAAATTAAAACGAATTTCATTCTTTGATCGTAATACTTTTCGGTACTTTCTTTTTTCAGAGAGCAATACCTCTTTAACGTTTTCGAGGTTATAGTTTCGACTTTGGAATCAAAATTACAGCGCATTGAAAATTTGGACAAAGCGGTGGAACACTTGATGAGAAGAGTGGAAGCTTTGGATTCACGCGTGAATGATAATATCGATAAAACCGATGCAGTTATTACAAAGCTACGAACATTAGATCTAAAACTTTTCAATTCTCATCAAATTGAATTTTCTTCAACTGAATCTGCATACTCGACAAGAAGGAGCGATGATAAAAACGACAGTGAAATCAGAAGCGGTACGTATGTATGTATGTACATAAAATGCTGATACGTAAAAACAGAAATTCGTTAACAGACGTATCTATAGAAGAAGAAAAGAAAAAAAAAAAGAAAAAAATATTGGACTGATCGAATCGGTTAGAACAAACATGGATCGCAACTACAAATTGTCGTTTGAATTGTATTACATTTACAGCCGGTTTTCTTTTATCTATATCGTATACTTAACAATCGTATTTACGTGTATTTTATAGGTATGCATACATATACCTACATATGTACACACGTATACAAGCCTGCTTTCCTTGTATTTCCCCCCT